CCCTTCCTGTGGGAATCAAAAGCCTAGCTACAGTGGGCACCTTTCTTCAGGTGGTGAAATTCCTGCCTGTCAAAAGATCTGGGAAATAAACCAATAAACACACAGCCTATGACCTCCTGCTAAGGTCCTCCAGTACCAGCCTTTTTTAGAAACCACTGCCTCTGGAAAGCCAAGACAGCATGGAAAAAAAGTGTTCTACATGAAGGATCTCTGTGAGTGAGACCCCTGCAGAAAGAAGTGGCCATCAATGATGGATGTACTTTTTTCTGAAGGGAGGAGAGAACTTCCATTTGGCTTATGGCCTTGTTTAAATACTGTCTCAGTTTGTGGATTCAAAAGGCTTCCACAGCCTAGGCAGCTCATGTCAAGAGCCTCGGGTGGCCACTGACATCATACATAAGAGTCTTAATTGTTAAATTATCAACAGGAGTCACTGTGCACTAACTCCCCACCAGGACTTCTGTCCTCATTGAGTTGTATTATGAGAGTTAATTGTAAAACTGTTCTCAACAGTCTCTGTGTGTGTGTGCAAATTGTTGGTCTTCTGTGTACAAAGTTAATTGAAAATGAACGTTAATGGAGGATGGGAAGGGAGGAGGTGGAGAGGTAGGAGTGTGGCTGGGAGGACGGGTATGGTGGGAAGAATAACTATATTCCTAAAGTTGTACTTGTGAAATTTGTATTCCTTAAAAATAAATTAAAAAAAAAAAAACTGCCTCTTTGTTTCAATGGAGTTGAGCTCCGACAGAGTTCTCTTCTCTATCACCTATTGCCTTCAGTAAAGTGTTCCTTGCCTGTTTAACTGTGTTCCATACAACTTTTGCTTTGATAATTTATGTATTATTTTGTTGTGTTGTTTTTGTTTCTTTGTTTACCAAACAGGATTTTAACATCTATTGTGGATGATGATTCCTTTACATATGCAAGAACAAAAAAAATTTTTTTTTAGAGATTTATGTATTTATTTGAAAGGCAGAGCAACAGAGAAGCAGAGGCAGAGAGAAAGGCAGGTCTTCTATCCACCAGTTCACTCCCCAAATGGCTGGACAGCCAGAGCTGGGCCTATCAGAAGCCAGGAGCCAGGAGTCTCCTCCCAGTCTCCCACACAGGCACAGGACTTGGGCCATCTTCCACTGCTTTCCCAGACCACAGCAGAGAGCTAGGTCAGAAATGGAGTAGCTGGGACTTGAACCAGCACCCACAGGGAGCACCAGCACTGCAGGCAGCAGCCTGACCCACTATGCCACAGTATTGGCCCCAAGAACAAAATTTGTTTTTCTTTTCTTTTCTTTTTTTTTTTTTTAGACAGAGTGGACAGTGAGAGAGAGAGACAGAGAGAAAGGTCTTCCTTTTCCATTGGAAGAACAAAATTTTTTAAAAATTTATTATTTTTTTTCATGAGGCAAAGAGAGAAAGAGACAGTAGGACAGGGAGACAAACAGCTCCCAACCCCTGGATCTCTCCAAATGCCTGCAACAGCTGGGACTGGATCCAAAGCCAGCCTCAATTAAAGTCTCCCATAGTTCAAGTCTCCCTCGTGGGTGGCAGGAACCCAGTTACTCGAGCCATCATGTGCTGTCTCCGCAGTTCTGCATTGGCAAGAAGCTGGAATTGGGAGTTGGGGCTGGGTATCTAAGTCAGGCACTGCAATATGGGACACAGAGGTCTATACTGGCAGCATAACTGTTAGGCCAAATGCCCACCCCATGAGCTGAAGTTTCATCAACATAGGAAGCCTCTAGATTCCCTGAAGGTTTCCACTTCTTAAAGGAATCTGGCCACTGACATCACAGGCTCTCTCAGTTAACCCTTGGAGCCATAAAAGAAATAGAGATGCCAGGGCTTTGGAGCAGAACCACTAGATCAGATCTGGACGATGATTTTCTCCTGGAAGCACAAAATTCCATAACCTTATGAGGTTTCTAAATGACCAGATTCATGTTCCTGCTCCAGAATGATGATTTGTGCTTAGTCATTACATGAATTTTACAGGAAATTACCTACTGGGAGTTCCTTTTTCCCGTTCACTTTTTTTTTCCCCAGAAATATTTAAAACATATTTGAAATAGAACATTCAAGAAGCCATGCACTAACAGTGCAGGGAGAAAAGCCACCAAAGGTCTCATGCATCTTTGTACCTTGGCACAGGCCTTTGTGCCCCTACTTCTATTTGGAATCCAAATCCTCCTGCCACCCAATCACAGAGCTAGGCTCAAATGTCACCCTTGTCCTGTAGAGAGATTTTTCTGTAACTCCGACCCCCACCTTTGGGTGCTCCTCTGTGGAGTCTTTAATACACCCTCTATCATCACTTTTTGCAGGACATTGTAGTTTTTAGGTAACTTTAGTGTCTTCCTCATATGTTCCCAGTACTCTGAGGGCAGGTATTTTACTTGTATGTTTCCACCTCCTGTCCCCCAGCAGACGCTGAATGAGTGGTGTGAATGGTTCACTTTTAAACACTTGGGCATCAGAATGATGCTCAGCCATGCAAAGTTCTTGTCTGGAATAATGATCCAATAGGCAAGATTCTGTTTGCTTGAAGACAGTCCAGCCCTGGTCATGGTCACAGTTTGGGAAGTGAACCATTGCATAGAAGATTCTCTCTCTCTCTCTCTGTTTCCCCATCTCTCTGTAACTCTGCCTTTCAAATAAATAATTTTTGAAGAAAAAATAACATTTTCCTTGCATCATTATCTTATCTCTCCACCTCCCAATGCTTTCAGTCCTCCCTGTCTGAAACAACAGCCCTGGAAACAACAAGCACCAATACTTTCCCCTTAAGATTGACACCCAAACATTCTCATAACGGTGTTATTTACAACAATGGCAAATGACAATCATTCTGAGAGTCAGCAATGGAGTATGACATAGCCAAGTATGATAAAGCTACACAATATCGTATGCGAAAATTATTATAGTATAGTGTTAAGAGAAAAAAGAATAGGCCAAAATCATATGGATAGTAGGATACCAGTTAGTATCCTACGTTAATACATGCAGAGGAAAAGTTTTGGAAGATAATTAACCAAAATATTAACAGCAGTTATTTCCAAGTGGTGGAAGTATAAGTGGTTTAGGGTTGTGAGCAGTCTTAATTGTGATTTGTTTATGATTTTAAAAAGTAAAATAAAATTAGAAAATCAAGTCAAAATATTTAAAAGTTATTTACATTTACAGAGCAAAAAAAGACAAGATGCTTCCTCGGAAAAATAGAAGGGGTGTGGGATGGGGACACCCATGTTCCCCAGCTTGGGGATGAGTGTTAACAATTTTCTCTATATACAGTCACTTCCACACTTGTGAAGACACAGTCAGGAAAACAGAACTGTAGCAACAAGCAACACCTTGGTTCCTGCTGCGAACAATCAAGGGCTTTGAGCACCAACCATGAAGCCTACAACAAACCCCTACGGGATCAGTGCGAGCTTCTCATCACCTGTCATTCATCTTCCTTCCTGCCTCTTTTCCCTGAAAGATATACAGTTTGTGTCAAGGAACACTTTCCAGGAAAGTTGAAACTGCTGAAAAGAAATCTAGTGCTTCTCAAAATGCCATCTGGGTCTGGCAACTTCACCAGCTTCTGGGACCTTGGTTTGTTGCCAGATCTCAAGCCCGGCTCAGACCTGGATTGCCAGAATTTCTGGGTTTAGGCACCAGGAGTCTGACAAGCTCTGCAAGAAGAGTCTTTGGCAGGTTGATGCTGAGAAGAATAACAAGGATATGGGTGATCTGGATTCCAATGAACTTTAACTCCTTTGTAAGAAAGGATCAGAAGTCGCGAAGTAGTGGTGTGTTCTTAGAAGTTTAACAACTTCGTTTCTGAGGGACAGTAGCCCTCACTGCCAGCATTTCCTTGGTGAAAATACACCATACCCACCCAGGTGACTTCAGTCTACACGGGTGACTCATGAACTTAGACTTAGAGATGCACACAGGTGGTTTTCAAAAGCTGGCAATTGTCAACCACATGAAACCTACTTCGTGAGGCTTCTGCTGGGGGTAGTGACGAGAGCTTGGTCATTCACTTATTTCCCAAACCATTTGTGAGTGGAAATAGCTGTGCTGCTTAACTGACTGTCTCGATAATACATCTGAGTTGGAGAGGGGCAAGGGCAAACTTTCCCAAAAATCCAAGGGAACAGCCGACATTGCATTTTTTTAATTTTCCAAAAGTCAGTTTTCCCATTTGTACAATGAAATTATAGAAGGATCTACCTCCACATTATTGTAAGATTTAAAAGATAATGGAGGACCAGTGCTGGGGCACAGCGGGTAAAGCCACCACCTGCAGTGCCGGCATCCAATATGAGCACTGGTTTGAGTCCCAGCGGCTCCACTTCCAATCCAGCTTTCTGCTATGGCCTGGAAAAGCAGTAGAAGATGGCCCAAGTCCTTGGACCCCTGCATCCATGTGGGAGACCCAGAGGAAGTTCATGGCTCCTGATTGGCACAGCTCTGGCCGTTGTGGCCATTTGGAGAGTGGGCCAGTGGATGGAAGATCTCTCTCTGTCTCTCTGCCTCTGCCTTCCAAATAAATGAATAAATCTTAAAAAACAAGATAATGGAAGCCTTATGATACATAATGGTCGTTCATGCTAAGGCAAGTACTTTGGTCTATATTTTCTTTTTCTCAACTTCTCCTCATTGATCAAACGTGATAGAGCTCAAAGCAAGCAAGTTTTCCTTTGAATCATAGCATCAGATGACCAATGAAGAAAAGCCATGCTCCTCAGTATATCTTTGTTATTCAATACAAAAAGAATGCAAAGGTAAATACCAATTATATCAGAAACCGAAGAAAAAGAGCAAACTGCTGTGCAAGAAGCAAATAAAATCAACGTAAGTGATGAATCCAAAACAAATTTGGGAGCTAAATGAAATTGAAGCCGATTCAGCACATCTATCTCATGCTTCCTCTGTAACTCTCTATAATGCTACTACTCCTGCCTTGCTTTGGTGTGTATAAAATAAACTTAATACATGAAAATGGAACTTACCCACTAAATTCTCTTTATCCTGCTTCTCAGGCGAAGACACCCCAGAATCCATCTCATTCTTGAGAAGCTATTACACTGGGCAGATCTTCATGAGTGTGGAGCCAGGCAGTCACCCAGGTGTGCCTGGAAGGCAGAGGAGGAGAGACAGTGTGAGGAGTAAGAGAGACTCCTTCTGTGGAGTCAGCACCCTAAGGAGAAGTTGCCCTGGTGAAGGACGCCTGATAACATAAACAAAAGCACTTCCTTCAGGAGCTCAGCCTGCCTTTGTGGATAGAGAAAATTCAAAAGAATATGCTGTTGCTTCATGTAGAATGTCACTATGTGAAGTTGGTATTGAATAGCTTTTAGAAAACACTTATTTGTACCAAGTGTCATTTGTTCACCACAGTGAACTCTCCAACATACATGACATCTTCCTTAGGTGTCAGAGGAGGAAAGTTAATCCAACTCATACTGCCTTTATGAGCTTTTGAGACATGAATTTGATCCCATTATCATCTTGTTTAAATCTAAGATTCCCAACTGTTAGCATGGTAAAAACTAAAACCTGGAGTGTCTTGCAAGACACTGCTGGACTCCCTCCCTCTCTGTCCAGCCTCAGTCACCAGACAGCCCCTCACTCACACTAAGTTCTTCCACAGCTTTTTGTGTCCTCCTGCCACCGGGCCTTTGCACTTGATAGCATTTGCATAATTAATTGTCTTGTGCCTATTTCTTCCTCTACTCAAGGAATTAGCAAACATGCCAGCCAACTTTGGTCCACCACCTGTTTTTTTTTTAATCAAGTGTTACTGAAAGACAGCCATGCCCATTTGTTTCTGAATTGTCTGTGGCCACACTTGCACTATACTTGCAGAGTTGAGTACTTGTGATTGAAATCCTATAACCGGCAATGCTTAATTATCTACTATCTCTCCTTTTACAGAAAAGTTTGCTGAACCCACCTTACACTGTATATTTCCATGAGGGAAGTGACTAAGTCTGATATTACTCACTGTTGCATCTTCAGCATTTAACACAATGCAAGCACAAAGTAGATTTTCAACAGATGCCTGCCAGATGAATGATTAAATAGTTATCAATGACATTAGCTCACAAATGATAAAACTCTTTTTTGAAACCAGCTCCTTGTCTCCTGTCCCAGGATTCCTTCTTTTACCACACTACATGAAATAAAGGTCAATTTTGATCCTATCCCAATACTAAGAACACGAATTTTCTGGTGTTCCTTTCTCTTGTATCAATGGCCCAACAATATTTTGCTTTTCTTTGTATGAAAACCAAACAATATAAAACAAACTGATCTCTCCCCAGTCATCATCTGTTTTCTAGCGTTCCTTCTCCCAATCACCTGGTTATTTATTTATTTATTTTTTTTAGCAACTGAATTTTAAAAAAATTTCTTAGGTTGGGGTGGCAATTTGCCTTAGGGGTTAAGAGACCCATGTTCTATATCAGAATACCTGGCTTTGATAACCAGTATCTGGCTCCTGACCCCAGCATCCAGCTAATGCTGACCCTAGGATGCAGTGACTGGGTCCCTGCCACCCAAATGTGAGAACTTGATTAAGTTGCTGGCTCCTGCTTTCAGATCCCAACAGTTGTGGGCATTTGGGGAATGAAGTAAATCTCAGCATGCTACCTCTGCCTCTCTCTACCTCTTAAATAAACAGGGAGACAGGTAAACAGAACTTCTTTATTCCCAACACAAAGAAATAATAAATCTTTTAAAACTCCCCATCTGTGGCTTACTTTTGCCAACTACTTGGTAATCTTAATTGCATTCCCTGCAAACTCAAATTGTCATAATAAGCATGGCTGCTGTCTATATTTTGTAATTATAGGGATTAAAACAGAGTATGAGAACTTTAGGAAAGGAGGCTAGGGACCAGAAATATAGAATGAAAACATGCCACTGCATGCACAGTCAGCATCTGTCTGGTCTGTAAGCTTTTCCACTGTGTTTTCCTTATTTTTTCTCTCCTGTACAAGGTTCAATGTGGAAATGATGTCAGACTCCCAGGGTCAAAGAAAGTGGACTCTGGTCTCACCCTGCCTAGTACAAAGAAATCCATGCAGTGTCATGAAGGAGATGTGTGATGCTTGGGAAGTTCCTTAACATTGTCAAAGCTTCATTTTCTTCTTCTGTCAAATGGGAATGATAATAGTATCCACCAAACTCATTTCTCTATAATTTTATTTGTGATAGTAATTAAAATACTCAAAAGAATGATTCGTTTTAACAAATGCTAACTATTATTACCATGCACGGGCACTGAGCTGTATTTCTCAGAACTCATTTACTTACTCTCTAGAATGGGAATTTTGGGTTCATTTTGGCAATATCAGTTTTCCCCTGTTTTATTGTGAATGCAAGATCATGAGAGATTGATTGATTCAGTGTATAACATTTTCACCTCCTTTCTCTTTTCCGTCAGGCGTGATCTCAGTTTGCTACAGATTCAATGACTTGAGGTCCATTCCTGGTTCTGCACCATCAGTACACAGGTCCCATTGTACTTCTCCCGGGCCTCTACTCAGCACCATGCCATCATTACTTTGTGACTAACTGCTCGTGGAAACAGCAAGAGAAAAACTTCCTAATTCCATCATCTCTCATGACAATCTTTTCCTGGAAATGGGAAGCCCCTTTTCCTTAGAATAGGATGCCCACCCAGTCATGCAGCGCCCCAACAGGCAGCAGGTGATGGCTCAAGTACTTGGGTTCCTGCCACGCATATGGGATACCAGGATTAAGTTGTCAGGCCCTAATTTCAGTATGGGTAATTGAGAAGTGAACTAGTGGAAAGAAGAATTCTCTGTCCCTCTGTTTCTACCTCTGCCTCTGCCTCTATATCTGTCTATCTCACTGCCCTTCAAATAAAATGAAAAGCTATTTAAATAAATTTAAAATGTATTTTGGAGGGGTGAGTGTTGTGGCACAATGGGTTAAACCACTGCCTGTGATACCAGCATCCCATTTTAGAGTGTTGGTTTGAGGCCTGGCTATTCCACTTCCGATCCAGTTCTCTGCTAATGCACCTGAAAGACCAGGGGGGAAGATGGCAAGTACATGGGCACCTGCCACCCACATGGGAGACCCGGATTGAGTTCCTGGCCCCTGGCTTCAGTCTGGCCCAACCTAGACCATTGTAGCCATTTAGAGAGTGAAACAGCAGATAAAATATCTCTTTCCCTCCTTTTTTCTCCATTTATGGCAATATTTCAAATAAATTAATCCTTTAAAAATGTATTTTGGGGGCTGGCATTGTGCTTCAGCAGGTTAAGCCTCCGCCCGAAATGCTGGCATCCCATATGGGCACAGGTTCAAGTCCTTGCTGCTACACTCCTGTTCCAGCTCCCTAATAATGCACATGGGAAAGCAGTGGAAGATGGCTCAAGTGATTGGGTCCCTGCATGCATGTGGGAGACTTGGAAGAAGTTCCAGGCTCCTGGCTTCAGCCTGGCCCAGCCCTGGATGTTGTGGCCATCTGGGGAGTGAATCAGTGGATGGAAGATCTCTCTGTGACTCTGTTCCTCTCTCTGTAACTCTGCCTTTCATCTGCCTTTCAACTAAATCTTTTCTTTTTAAAAGTGTTTTGGAGGTGCTAGTTTAGCTTATTTCTAAATATATTCCCACTCCATATTAGCCCAAACTCAGTGTGCCAGCAGGGCCAGTCACTGAGGTGCAAGGTTCAAAACAACACAAACAGTAATTGTTCCCTTGAGGTGCCTGAAAACATGCTCAAGGGTGTAAGTCTCCATTCATCCCCCTGGAAGATGATTAAGCACCTGTTTTTCCTCTTTCTGCAAAATGTTCCAAATATCTCAGCCTAGAAAGCAAGAATGGGTTCAAGAACTAACGAGCACCTACGGCAAATAGAGTTCCTGCGGAGGTGCCTTTGGAAACAAACAGGGAGCCCATTTCCAAGTTCCTTCCTCCTTTGTCAGTTACAAATGATTAGGTCAAGATGATAACCTCTCATCAACTGGAGGGCACATTCACAAAATTCTATTCTCTCCTCTCCATCAAGCAGGAGTGAGGATGGGGTGGGGGGAGATTTCTGCAAGGTGCTCTGGTGACTTTTCTATATCTTTACACTTCTGTTCCACACGCTCTTGTGCTAGTCAAAGTTCTGAAGGAGGACAACTGAGCTTTTAAAAGTCCTAATTCTATCCCCACTCTTGACATACAGGATTTCTGTCCCTATGTGTGTATTACATTCATCTTAGAGTCAAACTTTATTCTTTTATTTTTAAAAGTTTATTAATCACATGAAAGGCAGAGTGATATATATATATATATATATATATAGAGAGAGAGAGAGAGAGAGAGAGAGAGAGAGAGAGAGAGAATATGAAGGCCAGGTTGAAGGCAGGAGCCACTCCACTCAGGTCTCCTACACGGATGGCAGGGACCCAAGTATTTGAGCTATCACCCGCTGCCTCCCAGGGGCATTATTTGGAAGCTGGATTGCAAGCAGAGGTGGAACTTGAACCCAGGCATTCCAATATGGGATGTGAGGATACCAAGTGGCCTTTTTTTTTTTTTTTTAGATTTATGTATTTGTTTGAAAGGCAGAGTTACAGAGGTGCAGAGGCAGAGATAGAGAGGTCTTCCATCTGCTGGTTTCCTCCCCAGATGGCTGTAATGGCCAGAGCTGCACCAATCCGAAGCCAGCAATGAGGAGCTTCTTCCAGGTCTCCCACACGGGTGCAGGGGTGTATCTTCCATTACTTTCCCAGGCCATAGCAGAGAGCTGGATCAGAACAGAAGCAGCCAGGACTCAAATCGGTGCCCATGTGGGACGCTGGCACTGCAGGCAGTGGCTTTACCTGCTACACCACGGTGCCCAAGTGGTCTTTTAACTAATATACCAAACGCTCGCCCCTCCCTTTCTTTAAAAGGAAAAGTGGTTTGATTTCTTTAACTTTTTACAACAATCATCATCCATTCTCTTATTCACTCCCATTTATCAGTTCTTGAATTCCCACATCTTTAACAAATACATTCCTAGATCAGTAAGTGTATTTATTGGAATAACTCACCAAACTGCAACTCTTGCCTAGACCTCTCTCCAGAATAGTAAGTATTTCCAACTACCAGCTGATCAAACTTCTCTACCAGGATGTCCCCTTGATTAAATATTCTAGACATTAGAAAGCAATCTATGGAGGGGATTAAGATGGTGGAATAGGGAGGGAGCTTACTGCTCTAGTCAAGGAGAAGATAGTTTTAAAAGTGGAGACAATGCAATCTCAGGGAAGAGTTAGGGAGAAAATGACAGAGGAAACTCCATGCAAGTTAGAGGGACAGTTAACCTACATGGAGGTCATGGATGCCCACAACTCAAGACCCCAGCAGCTGAGAGATTCTGCTCCAGCACTGGAGAGCTAGACCACAGCAGCCCAAGCCACTGGCGATAAAGCTGCAGGAAGAGCCTAAAGGGAATCTGGTTTGGAGCCCCGTGGGGGATAGTATACCTGCCAAACCAGAAGAGAAAAAAATTTTAAAAAGGAGGGACATGCTTCGCTCTCCCTGATCACCCTGCAATAGCATCCTATAACTAGCCGATGGAGAGCAGGTGCCATTTTGTACATATGTAACGGCTGTGCCAGCTCATGTCCATGCCCAGCAACCAACTGAGTAGACTCCTGAGTCTGGTGGGGAGAACTGACAGGGGGCTGAGTGCTTGTGACTGTGGGAAGCTTGTGTGCCAGGACTTTGAATAAACCAAGGTGGTGTGGGAGGGCTCACAGTGTAGCTGGGACTTTGGGCAGTCACTGTGGGAGGTTCCACATGCTCAGGCTCTCTGGTTACCCGGTGAGGGACATTGCTGGGAAATCTGAGCTTACACTGAGGACTGCACTGATCCTTTGTGTGGTCCTTGGGGCAGAGCAGACCAATATTATACCAGGGGATAGCACTCAGACACTGGTTTTGTTTGAGGAGAGGGCTCAGCTGAGCAGAATAAACCTCCCTTCTGATAAAAATTTTAAAAAGAGATTTACTACACCAAAGCTGGGTGCATCACCTTAGACATGCTCTTCACTGTGGAGAATTGAAAAGAGCTCCCTAGCTACACACACCACACACCTCTAGGTATTCACTGAAAGAAGGTACTCCACTAATCTACAAAGGCATAGTACAAAGATAAAAGCCACGCAACACAGAAAAAAAAAAAAAAAAAAAAAAGAAGAGAAGAGAAGAAGAAACCAACAATTATCTCTACAAATGCCAAACAACAAATGCACCAATTCAAGAAACAAGAAAAAAGAAGACAACAAGATGCCCCCAAAAGAACACAAAACACTTCAATTTTAGATTGTGAAGATGATGAGATTGAATAAATGCCAGAAATGGGCTTCAAAAAATTGATCATAAGAATACTTAAAATATTATTAAGAATATAAATAGAAGGGGCTGGTACTGTGGCATAGTGGGTTAACACCCTGGCCTGCAGTGCCGGCATCCCATATGGGTGCTGGTTCGAGACCCGGCTGCTCCACTTCCAATCCAGCTCTCTGCTATGGCCTGGGAAGGCAGTGGAGGATGGCCCAAGTCCTTGGGCCCCTGCACCCGCATGGGAGACCTGGAGGAAACTCCTGGCTCCTGGCTTCGGATCTTCACAGCTCCAGCCATTGTGGCCAACTGGAGAGTGAACCATGGGATGAAAGACCTCTCTCTCTCTCTGCCTCTCCTCTCTGTGTGTAACTCTGGCTTTCAAATAAATAAATACATCTTTTTTTTTTTTTTTAAGAAAAGAATACATAGAAGTAATGAGAAGCAAATGCATGAACTAATGAAATCCATACATGACATGAAAGAAAATTTCTCCCAGTAAATTGAGATCTTAAAGAGAAATAAAAATGAAATCTTGGAAATGAATAATTCAATAGAACAAATAAAAATGCAGTGGAAAGCCTCAACAACAGAACTGGTGAAGCAGAAGGAAGAAAGGATATCCAACTTGAAAGAGAAAGCACAGGAAATTATACAGTCAGACAAAAAACAAGAAGAAATTAGAAAACTAAAAATCACTGTTGGTAATCTACAGGATACTATGAAATGACCCAACATACAGGTTCAAGGAGTTCCTGAAGGTATGAAAAGAAAGAAAGGATTAGAAGGCCCTTTTAGTGAAATAATAACAGAAAACTTCCTAATTTAGAGAAAGAAAGGGATATCCAAGCACATGAAGCACACAGAACTCCTAACAGACATGACTAGAAAAGATCAAGGATGTCAAAGATCTCTACAATGAAAATTTTAAAAAACATTAAAGAAAGAAATAGAAGAAACAAAAAATTGGGGAAATCTTCCATGTTCATGGATTGGAAAAATCAATTCCATCAAAATGTTCATTGTTACAAAAGCAATTTACATATTCAATGCAATACCAATCAAAATACCAAAAACATTCTTCTCAGATATAGAAAAATGATGTTAAAATTCATATGAAATACAGGAGACCTCAAATAGCTAAAGCAATCTACTACAACAAAAACAAAGCTGGAGGCATCACAATAATACCAGATTTCAAGACATACTACAAGGCAGTTATAATCAAAACAGCCTGGTACTGGCACAAAAACAGAGGATCAGACCAATGGAATAGTTTAGAAATGCCAGAAATCAATCAAAACATCTAAACCAACTTATATCTGACCAAGGAGCTAAAACCAATCCCTGGAGCAAAGACAGTCTCTTCAACAAATGGTGCTTGGAAAACTGGATTTCCACATGCAGAAGTATGAAGCAAGACCCTTACCTTACACGTTACACAAAAATCAACTCAAAATGGATTAAAGGCCTAAATCTATGACCCAACACCATCAAATTATTAAAGAACACTGGGGAAAGCTTGTAAGACATTGACACAGGGAAAGAGTTCTTAGAAAAGACCCAAGAGGTATAGGCTATCAAAGCCAAAATTAACAAATGGAATTACATCAAATTGAGAAGCTTCTGTACTGCAAAAGAAACACTCAGGAAAGTGAAGAGGCAACTGACAGAATGGGAGAAATTATTTGTAAACAATGCAACTGATAAGGGAATAATAACCAAAATATATAAAGAGATCAAGAAATTCCACAAGAGCAAAACAACCCAGTTAAGAGATGGGCAAAGGAGTTAAACATATATTTTTCAAAAGAGGAAATCCAAATGGCCAACAGACACATAAAACAATGTTCAGGGTTACTAGCCATCAGGGAAATGGAAATCAACGCCACAATGAGGTTTCACCTCACCCCAGTTAGAACCATGGGTTTCATAGAATGGCTTTCATACAGAAATCAACAAACAACAAATGCTGGTAAGGATGTGGGGGGAAACATACCGTAATCCACTGTTGGTGGGAATGTAAACTGGTAAAGTCACTATGGAAGACAGTATGGAGATACTTCAGAAATCTGAATATAGTCCTACCATATGACCCAGACATCTTGTTCCTGGGAATTTACCCAACGTAAATGAAAATAGTAAATAAGAGTTATCTGCACCCCCATTTTTGGCAGCACAATTCACAAGAGCTAAGACATGAAATCAACCTAAATGTCTTGTCAACTGAAGACTGGATAAAGAAATTATGGGATATGTACACTATGAAATACTATACACAGCAAAAAAAAAAAAAATGAAGTCCAGTCATTTGCTACAAAATGGATGAATCTGGAAAACATAATACCTAGTGAAATAAGCCAGTCCCAAAGGACAAATACCATATGTTCTCCTTGATCTGTGATAATTAATAGAGCACCTAAAAGGAAATCTATAAAAGTAAAATTGACATTTCAAGAAGCAATAACTTGAATAGTCCTTGTCTTGACTGTCAAGGAACAGTTTTTTTTTTTTTTTTCCTTCAGGCTATTTGTTGAACTCTTAAAATAGAGTTAATCATATGTGTATAAAGTCAACTGAAAAAATAAGAGTGGGAATAAGATAAGGAGGAGGAATTTGTAACTGTAAAGCTCTATAGTTCTTCATACATCCCTATGGACTTACGTCTAAGGGTATAGTTAAAACTTGCCATAAGACCCCAAATCCCATTAAGCTGGGTGGTAAAAATATCATCTTAACTGTTAAAGAGATCATATTAAGTGTTAAAGTGAACATATATGGATAGGATTAAGTGTTAAAGTGATCATATAAATAGAATTAAGTATTTGGTAGTAATAATAGAATTATAAAGGAGAGAATGTTCCAACCTGGGAAGTAGTCCACACAATAGATTCATAGAATGACAATCACTTTAATTAGCACTCTGAACTCAGAATCAGCCTTAAAGTCATCTTGGTCTGGCTGAAAAGCCCCTGAGAGCATTTCAGGCATGAAAAGCCAAGACACTCTGGCAAAAAAATATTCTACATGAAGGACTTCCGTGAGACCCCAGAAGAAAGTCACCATCAAACAAAGATGTACTTTTCTCTGAATGGGAGGAGAGAACTTCCACTTTGTTTACGGTCTTGCCTAAATACCGTCATAGTTTGTGGATTCAAAGGCTTCCATATGCCTAGGTAACTCATGTCAAGAACCTCAGGTGGTCACTGACATCATACATAAGTATTACTTGTTAAATTAGCAACAGGCGTCACTGTGCACTAACTCCCCATCACGACCTCTGTCCTCAATGAGTTTTATTATGAGTTAACTGTAAAACTTGTTCTCTCTGTGTGTGCGTGTGTGTGTGTGCAAATTGTTGAACTCTTAGTAGAGTTAGTCTTCTGTGTATAAAGTTAATTGAAAATGAATCTTAATGGAGAATGGGACTGTGAATGGGAGGAGGAGGAGGAGCAGTGGCAAAGTGGGTGGGAGGACAGGTATGGTGGGAAGAATAACTATATTCCAAATAGCTGTACTTATGAAATTGTATTCCTTAAACAAAAGGTTTCTTGGGGGGGGGGGAAGAAAGCAATCTATTGAATAAAGATCTTGTTGCGAGACTTTTGCTGACACATGCGAAACATATACAACATGTCTTTACTTAACACAATATACAACTGTGAACAGAGGACCCAAGTCCTAACTAAAGCATTACCATTCCCCAGTTCTCTGTAAGCACAACCCACGATTTTGTTGATTATGGACTCACCTTTAAAATACAGTTTTTATTATCACTTATGTATTTATAAACAAGATGGTATTCAGCTTTGTTTTTAATACTTATATAGTCTTCCTCTGTGATTGCTTTTCTCTCTCCATGTTATGTTTCTCATGTTCATTTGGATTTAGATTTCCACGACGTAGTCTTCCTCTGTGATTGCTTTTCTCTCTCCATGTTATGTTTCTCAGGTTCATTTGGATTTAGATTTCCATGAATTTTAAGGTGGCTGAACAACATTCACATTTATTTACAATTCATGTTTTTTCCTCTGTGAAATGCACATAAATGTTTTTGGCTCTTTTTTTTTTTTGGGGGCCTTTTTCTTACAGATTTCTAGGTACTCTTTATATATACAGATGTTCCTAACTTAGGATGTTTGGACTTACAATTTTTGACTTTATGATGATGCAAAAGCAATGGACATTCAATGGAAGCCATATTATGGTTTTGAATTTGGATGTTTTCCTGGGCTACTGAGATGTGGTATTATACTCTCCTGCAATGTGGGCAGTGGCAGTGAGCTACAGGTGCCTGTCAGTCCTAACACCATTGGGGAAGCTACCTGAGACTCTGCATTGTGCTATTACTTGCTAAGCTACATTAGTTGGTCGCTTAGGTATATTAAACTAATTTTTGACTTATATTAGTTTCAACTTAACGATGGGTTAAATCATAAATCAAGGAGCATCCGTATTTATATATGCTTGATACATAGACAAGCACATTTAATACAAAATGTATACTTGAGATTTAAGAATGAAACCAGTTGCCACTTTTTATTTATTTTTTTAAAGATTTATTTATTTCAGAGTTACACAGAGAGAGAAGGAAAGGAAGAGACAGAGTCTTCTATCCACTGATTCACACCCCAATTGGCTGCAACAGCCCGAGCTGCACCAATCTGAAACCAGGAGCCAGGAGCTTCTTCCAAGGCTCCCACATGGGTGCAGGGGCCCAAGGACCAGGGCCATCTTCTACTGCTTTCCCAGGCCATAGCAGAGAGCTGGATCGGAAGTGGAGCAACTGGGACTCAAACTGGAGCCCATATGAGATGCTGGCACTGCAGGCAGCGGCTTTACCTGCTATGCCACAGCGGCAGCCCCCACTTATCTTTTTAATGAGGTATCTGATATCAAGTATATGAAGATTCACTGTATTTAGTGCCTGATGTATTTTATTTAAAAATCCTTCCCTTCCAAACTTTCTAAGGATCTCAAGGATCTAAATATGTTGTTTTAATGTTCAGCACAGCAGTCCTCTCCATCTTATTTCTTGTCTTCACCCTTTGGTTATCTACCTACAGTTTAGAATAAGGTCATTAAGCTTACTGAAAACTCTGTTGGGATTTCAACTGGAATTGCATTGAACTCTGGTTATTTCCAGAGATTTGATATCTTGAGGGTATTTTATTTGCAGCCATGATCACTGTGCATGCTCCATTTAAGCTAGTTTTCTTTAAAAATTGTCATAAGGTTTCAAACATTTCTCTATATTATTTACTTCTTATAAATAATATAGGTTATAAATTATTATTAGAAACAACAGAGGCCGGCACTGTGGTGTAGCTGGTGAAGCCGTTACCTGCAGTGCTGGCATCCCATATGGGTGCCAGTTCAAGTCCCAGCTGCTCCACTTCCGACCCAGCTCTCTGCTATGACCTGAGAAAGCAGTAGAAGATGGCTCAAGTCCTTGGACCCCTACACCCCTGTGGGAGACCTGGAAGAAGCTCCTGACTCCTGGCTTTGGATCAGCGCAGCTCCAGCTGTTGCAGTCATCTGGGGAGTAAACCAGTGGATGGAAGACCTCTCTCTCCCCCTCTCTGCCTCTCTGTAACTCTTTCAAGTAAAACAAAATAAACTCTTAAAAAAATACCCACCATCACCACCATCAAGTTTTTTCTGTTCTTGCTCATGTCTGAAAGTGCAACTGGCCTTTGAATGCACTCTGTGAACCTAAAACTTATTAAGATTTATTAAACCTGAGTACTGCCAGTCTTAGAGCATCCATTCCAATCCTTCTATTGTTTAACATTTCCTGTGCCTTACTACACCAGCTGGCATGTCTATCTAGTACAATGTGGAATTACCCTTTCCTTGATCAACTGATTTTAAAGGGGTATTTTTAATATTTCATAATTAAGAATGTGACAAGCTCTTTTTTAGAATTCCTTTACCTAATCAACTTTCCTTCTTTTCCTAATTTGCTAAATTGTTTTTTTTCCCCCATCATTATTGTGGTTGAATATCATCAAATGCTTATTATTTACAGGCTGAGAAAACAGCTTGCTACTTTCTGGTTTCCTAATGTTATTTTACCTTTATGCTCCTGATAGGATACTCAACTTGATTATGCTATATCACTTTTTTTTAATTTTATTTATTTATTATTTTTTTTTTGACAGGCAGAGTGGACAGTGAGAGAGAGAGAGAGAGAGAAAGGTCTTCCTTTTTGCCGTTGGTTCACCCTCCAATGGCCGCCGCGGCCGGCGCGCTGCGGCCGGCGCACCGCGCTGATCCGATGGCAGGAGCCAGGAGTCAGGTGTTTCTCCTGGTCTCCCATGGGGTGCAGGGCCCAAGGACTTGGGCCATCCTCCACTGCACTCCCTGGCCACAGCAGGGAGCTGGCCTGGAAGAGGGGTAACCAGGACAGAATCTGGCGCCCCAACCGGGACTAGAACCCAGTGTGCCGGCGCCGCTAGGCAGAAGATTAGCCTAGTGAGCCGCGGCGCCGGCCACTTTTTTTATTTTTTTTAAAGAATGCTCTATTTGTGCTACTGATTTATGATTTTCACTCTTCTCTTGAATAAGGTTGACTTGTATTTTTTTATTTCTCATATTTTGTCTAAGTTTTGGGATCATGGTTTTGGGATCATGGTTCTGCTGACCTTATTTAGAATGAATTGAGCAGTGTCTGTTCTTTTTTCTTGGAAGTTGGTATACTCTTGAATGATTCATTCCTCCAAGTTCAGTAAAACCAGTCTGAAAAGTCTTCTGAGCCTATTGCTTCAATTCAAAAGAGCTGTGATTATGAAAACATGGAAGGTAGCTAGTATCTTATCATGTACTGCTTCATTCTTACCTTCTTATTAGTTTCCCTCTCTACCAAATAAGAGTTAGAACACCACCTGACATTTGGCTCATACCATGATATTTTATCAGATATTTAAATTAAAAAAATGGTATAATAATGCTCCATCTGAATACAACAGGACCTCAGGGACACTTTAGTTTTGAGAACTCTTTTAATTTTTGATCACTTGCTAATGTTGTTTAATCTTTTAACTGACCAAATTAGGCATGATTTACCAATACATTGTATCACCTTTAAAAGCAAAAAAGACTCATTAAGTTTCATTTGTAGTAAAGTCTTTTCTAAAACTCTAATACAGATTATTATATTTTATAAATACAGATTGAAGCCACCTGGTCAATCAAATTGTGAGGCTTAAAATTAAGGCCAATAAGTTATATAAATTAACAGATTTTATAAACTCCACAGACCATAGGCCTTCATTAAAGGGAGTAAACAGAAATATTTCTATCTCCTTTCCATAATGTCAATCCTCAGTCTTCATTTTTGGATTTCTGCTACAATCATCCAGTTTACTTCTAATCCAACCTCATGATGCAGGCTCAGTGATTTTCTGGTATTTTCTAACTGTTGATCATAGAACAAACTGCCAGCTCGTTAGCTCAGGTTACAAGGCTTTTCTTGATCAAGTCTCTCTCTTGCCCAACTTCATTTAAAGTCCACATGATACTCCATGAGTATAGCACTAAGCTATTCTGTCATACTTTGTGCTTTTTTAAAAATCTTAATTCTCACTCATTTATTAGGATTTCATCATTACTAAGAAATCTTTCTGGACTCCATCAGATAGTAAGATATTCCCTTCTTCCTGTCACCTCTGACTTCACCAATATATTTTTCTAGCATTTGGTAACACAAAATGACTGATACGCAGAAAATGTTTGATTCAAATTTACTATTAGTCATTGTGTACTTTAGATCTTAAATTCTTTAACTAGAGGATTAGGTTACTAGGACTTATTTCATAGGGTTGTGAAACAGAGGCATAAACCAGTCCCAGTTATTAGTGTAAGTTCCTTCTCTTCTATATAAATCTTGAGTGCCCAATGCATGCAAGATGTCTGGAATACACCTCAATGATGAACAGCTTCTCTGCTCAAGGGGTTCAAAGGATAGCAAAACTCAACTGTAGTAGCATCACATTGCATAAAGATTATTCTTCGGGACATGCATTGTGGGCCAAGGGGTTAAACAGCCTAGGATTTCTGCATCCTATATTGGGAGCGTCTTGCTTGAGTTCCAGTTACTGTATACTTTTGATCAAGCCACCTGCTAATGAGTTTGGGAGGCAGTCAATGATGGTCCTAGTACCTGGGTTCCCTGCCACTCATGTGGGTGACCTGGATGGAGTTCCTAGCTCCTGGCTTTAGTTTGGCCAAGTCCTGGCTATTGTGGGCAGTTAGCAAGTGAACCAGTGAACAAACTATCTCTCTTTCTCATTGTCTGTCACTCTGCCTTTCAAAATAATAAAAGTACTACTACCACTACTAATAAATACAGATTATTCAACCAGAAACTATTTCTGAATGAATTAGCAACATATATAAGCAACTCAATACAATCTTAAAAAGTTTTATGAGCACAGATTTAAAAAGAACAAATGACAACTTCTAATAATTGCTATCAGATTAACTACTGAGACCATTATGTGCTTGAAGATAATTAAAGGCAATCAGTGTATTTCAAGTGCTGAACATGACTTCTGCATAACATATTAAAGGACTGAGCAACAGGTTTAAATTGAGCTTTGTAAATTTTGACAAAAATATTCAATATATTAACTCTAGTACATACAAAAAGTTAAAAAAAATCCATCCAAGCATTTCATCAAACACTTATAAAAGATTTGTCTTATCCATAAAGTTTATTTTTAAAAATTGTTAAAAACTAACCATACAGGAATATTTATTAATATACTTAAAAAGATTGTTCCCCATGTTGAAGGAAAATACATTTGCAACATCTTCTAGACACCATCTTTACAAAAGTAGAACTTCTAGATGCTGAAATGTACTACAGTAGATTCTATAGTTTACACTTTTAATCACTGAATTGGAATTTATTCTCCCTTCTTCTCCCCCCTCCCCTAACGTGGCAGTTATTACTCTTAAGTTAATGACATTCAATCATGTTATACTACCACAGATCCTTAAATAGACTACACACTGCATATTTACTAACAGAGCAAGTCTTCTCTATTTGTTGTCACATAATTATTTCAGATAAGCATTTGACTTTAAGTACAAATAGAAATACTACATCCTGTGATTGTAAACATTCACCAAGAGCTTCCAGAGTACAATGAGCAATAGAGGCGGCCCAGGAGTCAGTCAAGTGTTCCTCACTCATTTGGATACTGCTGAGATTAGGAAAAATGTTTTGAAGGCAAATTATAAGCCTTCTGTAAGAAAGTAGTTCTGGGTATATATTTTTAGTCAAAAACACCTGAAAGTCATTCTAAAGACTACATTAAGCACCATTTTCACTTACCTGAAATATATTGAGTTAAATTCATCAGTATATATGATCCTTAACACTAGAAATTAAATATAACGGTGGGTCTCAAGTTCCTTTTTGTGGATACATAATGGAGTACTGGGTTCTCGCTGATGCTAACGGGAGTCACTCATGCATACCGAGGGTGGAAACTCCTCAAGGGCCATGTGCAACCCAAAAGCTTGAGGCACAACTATTACTTCTGTCAGTGGATGCTATACAAGCAGATTTAAGGCTGTATTCGGCTATAAAGAGTTCAATGTCCTCATTAATATTCTTTCTATGTAGATCACATACACAATTCATAATTTTGTAGGATGGGAGGTGAAAAGTCCCCAAATACTTCTGAAATACTATTCTCCATACAATTTAGTCATTGTCAGCATATTTACACATGGGGATGTTTTTACTTAAAACCCTTTTTAAAACACAAGTGGGATTTAAAAACTCTTGTCATAATTTCCCCAGGATTAGCCTCATTTTCATTTTCTGACTTTTGGCCAAATTCACATTTATCAGATTCTTCACTATAGTTCTTAGGCAATTCTGATGATGAATCGAAGGAGAAGAAAAATCAAAACTTGTTCACTGCCACCCACTTTGGGACAGGCCTGTTTGTAAAGAAAACGGTGTTCCTGGTGTGGAAGGGTAATTAGGGAAGCCCTCAGGCTGAGCCGGATAGCTTTCCAGAGCCGCAGCGGAATGCACCTGAAGGAAGAACAGCACAGTTCAGCAGAGTGCACATTCAATCCAGACTGGATGTGGTTCTGCCTTCCCCAAACACTAAGTAATCAGAACAGGAAAGAAAGAAAACATTTGGGGCCAGATGAAGTCTACTCACTCTCCTAAGACTTTTAAGCCTCAGTAGAGGAAATGCATAGAAATGCCACTAAAAGATTTAATATTCTTGCAAAGAAAACTCAGTTGGTTTTCCAGAGATAACTTGCTTTAATGGTATATAACTTTGGAAGACAAGTTAAAATTTAATTGTTGTTCCATTTTATTGAGTTAATTTTTCCACGATGAGATTCAAAAAATCTGTCGGCAAAAAAAACCATTCATGCAAATTTGGGGAGAAGTAATCATCAATTCTCTAAACACTTTGATAATTATGGCCAGTGTTGCCGTATCTCAACAATGTATCTCAACAATGGAGTTCCCAGCTCCTGGCTTTAGTTTGGCCAAGTCCTGGCTATTGTGGGCAGTTAGCGAGTGAACCAGTGAACAGACTATCTCTCTTTCTCATTGTCTGTCACTCTGCCTTTCAAAATAATAAAAGTACTACTACTACTACTAATAAATACAGATTATTCAACCAGAAACTATTTCTGAATGAATTAGCAACATATATAAGCAACTCAATACAATCTTAAAAAGTTTTATGAGCACAGACTTAAAAAGACCAAATGACAACTTCTAATAATTGCTATCAGATTAACTACTGAGACCATTATGTGCTTGAAGATAATTAAAGGCAATTCAATTATCTTACCTGCTGTAACAATGCTGACTGTGCTGCTGCATTGTGCTGTAATTCTTGCAAAGATGATTGCGAAGGATTCTGGGAAAACCCAGGGATACCTGGGAGGGACAAAAGGCCTGGAAAAACAGAACTGCCTGCAGCTTGAAGTCCAGATGATAAGCTGAAATGATTGACAGAAAAACAGGTCAAAATATGCATCAGACTTAAAAGCTACTGCTGCTGTATTGGTCAAATACCATCTACAGATGTTAAAAACAAAATAAGAAGACTTAAAATTTATTCCGCCATTGGATGGAATCATAAAAGTCAGTCATTCACTGGTGTAAAACTTAATTTTTACTGTAAGGTGTGTGATTCTGGATTCATTAAGTCTATATTTTGCACATACAGTCATGCACAACACAGGAAAGTTTCAGTCAGCAGCAGGCTGCAGGCACCATAGTGGTCCCACCAATTCTATCTCCTTAGTTTGTGTCAGTCAGTGCACTCTATTATGTGCACACAACACATCATCTAATGACACATCTCTCGGAACATGTCCCTGTTGTTAAGAGACACATGACTAGGGCTGGTGTTGTAGCAGAGTGGGTTAAGCTGCTGCCTGCAAAGCCAGCATCCCATATGAGTGCCTAGTGGAGTCTGGTTGCTCCTAATGCTACTGAGAAGACAGTGGATGGCCCAGGTACTTGGACCTCTGCCATCCACATCCAAGTCCCAGATGGAGTTCTAGGCTCCTGGCTTTGTGGCCATTTGGGGAATGAACCAATGGATGGAAGATCTATCTCTCTAAATCCCCATCTTTCTAATTCTGCCTTTCAAATAAATAAATGAATCTTAATTTTAAAAAATAACTATTTGAAGAGAGACACATCACTGTTAAGTCTTTCTACCATTTTATAAGCAAATTAAATGACCAAATTCAAGTATTATGTTAGCAGGCATTCATGTTACATATTTTAATGTGCTTCAAGAGCTAAAAGGCAGAAAATGCTAACTTAACACCACTGAATAATTAGATTTAACTTTCGTTTGAGTAGCTTAAAATAACACTATGGACTACAAGTTACATGAACAATGATTTCATCCTGTTTGCACACTATTCACGTACCCGGCTTGTGCAACGAGAGCAGAGTTGAAATTGGAGCTGAACGCTGAAGCAAATCCTGGGAGGACGGGGGCTGGAGATGGGGCGGTGGCAGCAACAGGCAGTGGGGTGACAGCTGCAACTGTGGAGGGCGCCTGCAGCCCCGGGAATGAGGAAAGGGCAGGGGTAACACTTGAGGCATTCGAGACAGAAAAGCCGGGATAGGAGGGGTTTGAGGATGGCAGAGGTCCTTGGGTGACTGAGAAAAGCGAGGGGACAGCAGTAGACAGGTTGAGGGGGAAAGGTGCTGCCGAGACTGGTGCTGAGGCAGAAAGCCCTGAGAGAGCGGCTGCTGTCGAGCTGGGATGAGGGACGGAGGTGGAGGTGGCAGGGGCAGATGAGGTGGCTATTAATGACCCCGGGAGAGACACTGGGGGATTAAGGGATGGGTTGCCAGTTAAGGGAAAACTGTTGGTTAGAGAAGTAAAAGGAGGCAGAGCAGTAAATACTGGAGGGATAGGAGCAGAGGAACCATGTGGTGGAAGGGAAATGGAAGAAAGAGGATTTGAACCATTTAAGGGAGTACTCAAACTGGAGAGCCCTGATAATGCGGGGTTAAGGCAAGTAGACAGACTGATGGGCACTGATGTTGAGGGATATGCACGGCCCAAGGTCCCTGACAAACCTAACGTGCCATGAGCGGGATTCACGGAATGAGACGGGCCTTTGAAGGCGGAGGGAGTAGGACTCGTGGGCTCAGTTTTGATCATCACTGGAATTGTCGTTACAGCAGGGGTGGATGGAAGGTGCAGTTCTGAGGTACCTGGGTGAGGGCCATGCAAAAGGGCAGTGGAGGAGCCACAGCTCACTGGCACAGACGCTGAGGAGGACGTGGGAGTAGCCAAGGGAGACTGGGCAGGCAAAGTAGGGGCAGCAGAAGTGGCGTTAGCCACAGGGGATGGCAGGCCCGGAAACATGGCCATCCCTGGAGTGGAAGACCTCTGGGGAGCAGGAACGGCCGAGGGGGTGAAGCATTTGCTAGGGGCTGAAGCAGCAGCATCAGAGTTGGGGTTAGTGAGAGAAGATAATGAAGCCAGCCCACTTGTAACAGCAGAGGATAAAGCAGAGGAGTTCATTAAGTTGGAGTCATTTGATGTCAAAAAGCCTTTTAAAGCAGACAGAAGAGGGCTGTTTACAGCAAGTGGACCAGCAACACTGGGAGCAGCACCACCGGCAATTACGGGAGTTGGGTTGGATACACCTTGGGATGTTGGTGCTAAGGGCAAAGGGAGACCTGCAAACACTGACGATAGTGAAGCAGAATTGGGGTTGTTGGTAGAAGCAGCAGTGGAGTTGGCAGAAAAGGAGAGGCTAGTGAAAGAAGCAGAAGTAGAAGCGAAAGTTTCACTGGAAGCAAGAGTGGCCCGAGGTGTAGACGTGGCTTGAGGGGCTGGAGTAGGAGCAGCAGAAGGACCTGGCAGTGGCACTAGGCCAGAAAAAACAGAAGGAATAGGAGCAGATGTTGTACTGTGGTTGGAAGTAGCAGGTGCAGTAGGCAGCGAAAGGGTTCTGATCACTGTAGGGTTTGGTGTCGATGGCTGAGGCGTAGGAACGGCTGAGGAGACCTGTCCTGGGAACACAGGAAGGACAGTGTTTTGCATGTTCATCCCAGAAATGCTGGCTGCTGCTGATGCTGACGGATGACTGACTGCCTTGACTGGAGATGCAGTAGGGACAGGCGTCGCAGCAGGTGTTGAAGGATTAGAACCATGAGGAGAAAAGAGTTGACTTGCTGGGGTAGAAAATGCTACAGGAAGGAGAGAAAAATAGAAAAATGTATGTGGACATGTCCAATTTTAACTTAAATACATAAGAATTTTTGTACTGTTTTACAAGTGTCAAAGAAAATTAATGAGAGATATTAAAAAAAATAGGCTCCTGGGGCCAGCTCTGTGCACAGAGGATTAAGCCACCATCTGCAGAGCCAGCATCCCATATGGCGCCAGCCTGAGTCCTGGCTGCTCTGCTTCCAATCCAGCAATCTGCTAAGGTGCCTGGAAAGGCAGTGGAAGATGGCCCAAGTGCTTAGGTCCCTGCTGGCCTGGCCCAGCCCTGGTTTTGGGGCCATCTCTCTGTCTCTCCTCTTTCTCTCTGTTATTATGACTTCCAAATAAGATAAATAAATATTTTTTTTTTTAAAAAAAGGGCAGCTAACAATATCTAAATTGCTGAATTCCATTCCCTAAACTTTGCTCCATCAGATCTAGGTGCTGCTCACAACAGCCCTTGAGAAACAAAGCCTTGAGAAGCTCATAAAAACACTTCCATGTTTTCCCACTTTCTTAAAATTCCAAGAAATTATTTTAGCTGTGAATAGTGCTGATGTGCTGCTCTCCCCCGAATCCCCTCAAACCATGTACTTAAGGAAGAGTCACAAGTCAGGGCTCCTGAAGAGCTTTCAGGACATCACTCTCCTTCCAGGAGCTTACAAGGCCTTCTAGGATTCACACCCATCTCACCAAGACTGCCCGTTGCCACTTGGTGGGCTGAACTTAATACTCCAAATTATTAATTTGTGCAGTTTTTCCCTATGCATTTGATCTTACTGACCACTCTATACCACATTAACCTACGTGGCTTATCTTATACATGGAATTCAGGTTTGGAATCTTAGTATATTGAGCACAGATCACAGCACCTGTGTACCTAATAAAGTGCTGGCTGCACTGGCTTCATCATGATTGACTCAAACTACACTTCCCAAACCTCATCAGGGACTCATTCTCAACATTATTTTGAGTTTGCTATAGTATTTTTATTCTGATAAGCTTTACAAATTATTACTGCAAGCAGTTTGGGAGGATTTGGTTTCCTCTATGAATGAATTCAATGACTCATCTACCCGAAATGATCTTGCCGGTGCAATGGAAAGCAAGACATGGGTAGCTAAAGTTATAACCGTAACTATCATCCTACACTGTACTTGGACCAAACTGCTTCAGTTGTAATCAGAGAATGTTCCCTATGTAATGAAAATCAACTGAAAGACAATTTCATGGACTAAAACAGACATTTTAAAATCCATGCATAATTAGAATCTTGACATACTGCAGTCAATGACATAATGCACTATTAAGTGTGGGGGGAACCAGGGAAAAACTAGAGATAAAAAAACACATTTTGCTATTGTTTTAAGAAAAAAATATGGCAGGAAAGTTGACAAAGATTAATTTATAAATACATAAACTGCAAATTCAAAAGTAAAAAAATTAAGTCTATACCACATTCATGTTGTAAGCAGTAATTTAAAGAAAATAAGACAGCTATTGTTTTAAATTTAGACTACTTATGACAATGAATGTATACTTTTTAAAATTTGTTTTGTAAAAATTAGAGGTATAAGGAATATATACCTAATTTTGTGCTGTAAATAATATGCCAAAAATATGTTGAGTCCACAGTGGTTAGGGAGTTGAGAATTCACTATCCTTTTAACTACAATTTCAAGAGAGTTTAGTGACAAATAGCAAGGTAAAACCAAGGTATCCTAGAGTGTTCTTTCAATAGCAACCTTTGTTGACAATCTTTCCTATAGTAAAGCGAAAGCTACGCCCTTATCTCTCATAGAGCATGCAGTTAAAAATGGAACAAAATAAAAACAAACTAAAAAACTCAACCATGTACCATGATAAGCATCCCTTTGCTGTCATCTAATTTTGTTATTAACCATATAACGTAAACAGTCCACATCCCCATTTCATTTTTTCTCACATTGGCCTATGAGACCTCCATTTTCAGGATGGGTAAACTGAGGCTTGTGTCGCCAAGATGTCTAAAACATGAAGCATCGGGGCACCGGATTCTTTCCCAGTTGCCCCTCTTCCAGGCCAGCTCTCTGCTGTGGCCCAGGAAGGCAGTGGAGGATGGCCCAAGTGCTTGGGCCCTGCATCCCATGGGAGACCGGGAGAAGCACATGGCTCCTGCCTTCGGATCAGCGCGGTGCGCTGGCCGTAGCGCGCCAGCCATGGCGGCCATTGGAGGGTAAACCAACGGCAAAAGGAAGACCTTTCTCTCTGTCTCTCTGTCCACTCTGCCTGTCAAAAAAAACAAAATACAAAAAAAAAAAAAACATGAAGCAGCTATTAAGAGGTGGGGTGGCTGGCACAGTGGCTCACTAGGCTAATCCTCCGCCTGCGGCACCAGCACCCCAGGTTCTAGTCCCAGTTGGGGTGCTGGATTTTATCCCAGTTGCTCCTCTTCCAGTCCAGCTCTCTGCTGTGGCCCAGGAAGGCAGTGGAGGATGGCCCAAGTCCTTGGGCCCTGTACCCGCATGGGAGACCAGGAGGAAGCACCTGGCTCCTGGCTTCGGACTGGGGCAACGCGCCGGCCATGGCAGCCATTTGGGGGGTCAACCAACGGAAAAGGAATATCTTTCTTTCTGTTTCTGTCTAACTCTGCCTGTCAAAAAAAAAAAAAAAAAAAGAGGTGGGGCCATGACTGGACCCCAAGTCTGTCAGGCATGTTCTTAACCACTTTCTTAGTGTGTCTTTCATAGTATTTCTTAACAATGCTTCAAAAAGGGGGGGGGCGATGTTCACCATGTTAAAATAACAGCATAGGAAAATACAGTATGCTGTTTCTACCAATGGTGCTTATGCCAAGTAACCTGGTTACTGCCTTCAAAAATCAGATTTATTGATGAAGCTGAGGTTTCTTTAATTTCTTTCTATAGAAGGAAAGTTAAGATTATCTGCTTATGGTCACAAAGCCAGGTGGTATCAGAGGCAGGATAACAGGATAGTCTGACAACTCACTTGCAGTTCTCTCTACCCCACAAGGCCACTTCCTTTGGAAACCACCAGCCCCAAAGCCCCACAAGGCGCCATTTCTGGGGAGTGGGATTCGTCCACTGAAACTCCCGATCACGCTCCATAACAGTTACATTCATGTGTACCTCTGCTGCGCAACAGCTAATGCCAGTTTGTCTCACATCAGACAGCATCTCCTTCCTCACCCACCTAAGCCCAAGGAAGGGAAGACTATGACGCCTGGTGCTGCTGCCATCTGCAGGCCACATTTCACCTTCACTTTCATTTTCTGCTTTGGTGTCCTTTACTCGTTTCTATTTTAAGTTATACCTAATAATACTTATTGAAATAATTACATCTAAGCACAGAAATGGACATAGCATTTGTCAAAAAGGCTTTTATCAGCCTGTGTATTTTACTGAAAAAGAAATGAGGCTTCTAAATCAGAGTGTAAAGTGAACATGGATATAAAGCCACACAGCACTTAGATTCCATCACAAGTTTTACAAGTAGCATATAAAGTACTAAGATAATTTTAACCTAGTTAATATTGTGGTTTCATGTTGTGTGAATAAAATGTATCACTCTTAAGCCACTTCTAGCACTTATTAATTAATTACACACATTAACCAGGAACTTTTTTTTTTTTTTTTGACAGGCAGAGTGGTTAGTGAGAGAGAGAGAGACAGAGAGAAAGGTCTTCCTTTTGTGGCTGGTTCACCCTCCAATGGCCGCCACAGCTGGCGTGCTGCGGCTGGCGCACCGCGCCGATCTGATGGCAGGAGCCAGGTACTTCTCCTGGTCTCCCATGGGGTGCAGGGCCCAAGGACTTGGGCCATCCTCCACTGCACTCCCTGGCCACAGCAGAGAGCTGGCCTGGAAGAGGGGCAACCGGGAAAGAATCCGGTGCCCCGACCGGGACTAGAACCCGGTGTGCCGGCGCCACAAGGTGGAGGATTAGCCTAGTGAGCCACGGCGCCGGCACTTCTAAAACATAAAGACTCCAAACATACAAACAAATTAAACTCAATAAATAACAGAATACACAACCACAAGACTTCAGATATCTCCACATCAAATTAGTACTTACTTTGATTCTGTGTAGGTTTTGACTGATTAGAAAGGTCTTCATTTTCTATATTAAAAAAAAAAAACAACACTGATTTCATGTTTTAATCAAATTACTATCGTAACAGTAAGAGACTGGGTTCAAGCAAAGAAAAATGCAGAATATAAATAAGTAGATGCATATTACATGAGGAAATATGGTGCATATGGAAAAGAAAAGAAATAAATAAAAACCCTAACTATATGAAAATGGAGAGGATTACAAAGAATTTCTCTTTCCCTCCAACCCTATACATCTTCTTATCCTGTCAGGTTTTAAATAAACACTGTTATTTTACAAACATCCTTGGAACACTTTCTGGAGGGATGCTGGCCTCAGTGTGCCTTCTAAGAGAAAGGGCAGCCCGTGGCTGGACTGCAGCGAGGAAACACACCTGGCTGAGCCAACTGCCAGCCACCCTGGGTACTACTGCCACAGGACTGGGAAGACTGCGAAGTGGGAGGTGGCTGCTTGGGGAAAAAGTACAGAATCCGCTGCCATCTGAGTGGCTGGTGGATCACCCAAACCAGCACAGCAGAACCGCATGGCGCACTTGCTGCGCTCAGTTCTGGGGGAGTCTCTGCTCGGAGCTGTCGTGGAGAACCACTTTAGGAATGGCTGATGTGAAGCCTATGACACTGGCAATGGGAAGCACCCACTCTCCACTCCCACAGGGAAAGCGACTGTCCTGCCGGCCCACCAGCCAAGGACACAAAGGGGAAACAGCACTGTCACAGGACAAGAAGTGGCAGAGGGAACCATAAAGCCTGACACAGGGATGAAAGGAAGGCTGCAGCTTGCTGAAGGAATTTGCTTGCTTGACCAGGTGACAACAAATAACCACCAGAACAATAAAAATTCAATTAAAGAGAACAAGAACTTTTAAAACCC